AGAGAGAGAGAGAGAGAGAGAGAGAGAGAGAGAGAGAGAGAGAGAGAGAACATGTCCTACCTCCTACCGAGCGACACATACACATTTTGGAAGACTAAGCTTGACAGTTTCTTGCCAGCAGAGGTCAGAATTGGTTTGTGGTTTCAGCTAGTGCTTTATTTATTTATCTATTGTTACTTTTTGGCTTCTTGTCCCAATGATTACTGAAATGCCTGGAGACCTTATTGGTTGTCACTACTGTTGTCTACTGCTTGAGACCCCAAGAATGCTGCTTCCCTTCAGGCACACTACGTAATCTGGTTCCAAGCCTCAACAGTACCTCTTGCAGAAGACCATGCTGTAGCCCTAGAGAAAAATAAATGATAATCTCAGAAAAAAAGATGATAAACACTTAATACTCTATATGGCCACTCTGTTTCTGGTGATTGGCTTGAAGGCAGATGGCCTGGTCTTGGGGTTCTGTTTTCTTCTCATAAGGCAAGCACAATCAGTCTTTTGGTGAAACTGCAGGGGCAGCCTCTGAGGACCTTAGCTTGGACATGGAGCAGAGTGGGGTGGCTTTCTGAGGACTCTGGTGAAGTTGAGGCAAGTGGACCTCGGATTCCAGATCCTGATCGCAGAATTCAGGTGTGAGCCTGAGAGGAGTCCCTGGATTCTGGCAAAGTGTCACTGCAAGACCCTCTGCTCACCTGGATTTCTGTCCAGGTGCCTGAGCCAGCGCCTACTCAGTTGCCCATCTTGGGCGGGGGGCAGATGGATGGGAGCTCTTGAGTAAGCAGTCTCCCTTTCCACAACTGACGACTTGGCCAGTGAAGCACAGAGGACTAGGATGGTTGGGCTTAGGGCACAGGAAAAGCACAAAGGAGGCCAGGAACCTTCTGCTTACCTGACTTCCAGGACGGTGACCATAGACAATGCTATTAGAGGCCGCTACTGCTTATCAGTGGTTCTCAACCTTCTTAATGTGGCAACCCCTTAACATAGTTCCTCATGTTGTGGAGATCCCCAACCATAAAATTATTTTTGTTACTACTGAATAGCTATAATTTTGCTACTGATATAAATTGTAATGTAAATATCTGATATGGACCCCCCAAAGGGTCACACCCCAAAGGTTGAGAAACACTGACTTAGATGATAAAGGGAACACACAACCCTATACTGTTAGGAAGAACCTGCATGGGCCATACCTGAGGGCAAGGGGCCCACTTTGAACCTTTGCCCTTAGCTCCCAACCTTCCAGATTGGAACCTGCTGGCAAGAGGCCATCTTGGGGTATAGGAGCCGCAGCTAGAACTGATGCTGCATGAAAGACAAAGGAGCATATCCTTTCTACTTTCCATTGTTGGTCCCAGACACTTAGCTCTGGGCAGAGGGACACTTGCTTCTACTTTTGTATGTGACACCTAAAGGAAGAAAAGAGACAATTTTCCACACATAGCTTCTGGCTGAAGGACTGCTAGCTTTCAGTATTATAGGCTTGAATATTCTTGTAAAGAAAAGCATGATTCTGATCTCTTCCATGAAGGTGATGGATGTGTGTGTTGTCCTTGTGGAATGGATGCTCATGGCACACATTCATGCCTTTGCGATTTTCTTCTTTAGGAAATGGCTAACAGCATGTAGGATTGACATTGTAGTACCAGCCTTGTGGCCCCTCCCATAACTTATAGCTTTCATCCATCCTGTAAAGATTTTCATTTCTTTGAACACTAACATTGTTTCTCTTTTCACTTATGTTCTCTTTTTACCCATATGTAGAGAATAGAGCGTATTCCACTTTTAATTTTCAGGTGAAAACTATGTGACTAAAGATTTAAGGGTCAAGAGTTGCTGGGGATTGTAGCACTTGCGTTTGGGGGCCTGCTCACTCTTCTTGTGAACTTTACCCTCCAAGGCACATTTGGAAGGCACCCCCTGATGATCCCAATACTGCTGTAGGGAGAGACGAGGAGAGATAGAGCAGCCATTAAATGAAGAGTGGCCAGCAGCTTTTGCTGGGAGATAATGGACAGGCCATCTGCAGACTTGATGAGAAAACACTGAGACAGAGGCCACATGCTGAGGAAGCAGGGGGGCTGTCAGCCTCTAGGTGATGAGCAGTGAACTCCTCTCATGCTCTCTACTTCCAAATCACACTTTTTTTTTGGGGGGGGGGGCATATCGTTTAAGGAGTGATCCCCAAGTATATGATTGTGGAATTTCTTTTCCTTTTTTGTTGCTTATTTTGGCTTTTTTTTTTTTCGAGACAGAGTTTTTCTGTATAGCCCTGGCTGTCCTGGAACTCACTGTGTGAACCAGGCTGGCCTCGAACTCAGGGACCCACCTGCCTCTGCCTCCCAAATGCTGGGATTTAAGGCCATGTGCCACCACCAGCTGGCCTCTTTGAAAATTTTCTGTCATGTGTTTCGATTATTGTTACCACCACCCCATCCCTGCGTCTCCCTCTAGCTCCTCCCAGATCCACTCTCACATCCCCACCCCTTCTCAACTTTGTGTCTTTTACAAACAAAACCAAGTCCAGTTTGTGCGTTGCCTGTAAACTCACAGTGTAGAGACACCCTGCTATGTGATTAACCTACCAAAGGCCATAGCATTAAAGAAAATTGATTCTCCCTCTTCTAGAAGTTTTCAACTTACCGATAGCACCTCTGTTAGACATAGGGGTCTGTGAGCTTCTCCCAATCCGTGTTAGAAGTCTGATTGGCTCCATCTTGTCCAGTTTTGTTCAGGCAAACACAGCTATCATAACTTCATGAGCACAGAAGTCCTGTCATGTCCAGAAGTTACTGTTTTGTTCCAGCCCTCCCTTACCTCTTACAGTCTTTCTGCTCCTTCTTCCTCTATAGCCCCTGAGCCCCAGGGTGAAGGTGATGGAGATATCCCCTTGTGGTTAAGCATTCTACTCACATGAATTCTCTGTACTTTCTGCAATTGTGAGTTTCTGCATTAACAGCTATTCATTGCACAAAGAAACTTCTCTTGGTGAGGTCTGAGAGCTACACTAATCTATGGGTATACTCTATGGGTATGATCCATGGGTGTAGAACTACAAATTTAGAGAGCAGTTGTCACTGTGTCTGTTTAGTAGTAACTTCTATTTAGGAGTATTTAGGCGTTGGTATTGTGTCTATAAGAGGAGTAAGTTCACCCCTGGGACTTGTGAGCTTCCCCATCAAGGGTTCTTAGTCAGATTTGCAGTACTAGGAATGTGTTTCCTCCTATGGAGCAGACCTCAAATCCATTCATAAACTGAATTTTTATCTTCTTTTATTTTTCCTAAAAGACAGGGTCTCTGTCTAGCTCTGGCTATCTGAGAAGTCACTCTGTAGACTAGGCTGGCCTCGAACTCACAGAGATCTACCTGCCTCTGCCTCCAAAGTACTGGGATTAAAGACATTAAGACATTCTTTCTAATGGTAGAAATGACTTCTCACACGTATTTAAGATCCCTTGTGTGATGGTAATCACATTAGAGTGAGTTGTTTCATGCCATTTATGGTGATATTCTTATAACACATTTCTCCCATCTCCGCAGAATTTCCCATGTCCTGCTTTGCAATGTAACCCAGAGGGTGTCATTCTGGTTTGTGGTCACAGATCCTTCCAAAAATCATACTCTTCCTGCAGCTGAAGTACAGTCAGCCATAAGGTAATCCTCCCCATGTATGCTGTTCACTGATCCATCTATCAGTTCCCTGATGAGCTCATTTGTTTCCATAGATACTGAAGAGATCTCATTCCACTCCACACATGATGCACTGATTAACGTGTCAAGTATTCATTCACTTCATTTCCAACAGAGATTGGTGTAGATCAGTAATTTTCATCCAGTAGCAATTTGCCTTCAAGAAAACAAATGGTTGGCAATGTTTGGACACGTTTTTCTTGTCACAACTGCTCGAGAAGGAGGCACCACCCATGCTAAGCAGGCAGATGCTAGGAATGTTGCTATCCACCCTACTATGTATAGGACAGAACCACCCTTAAAAATTATTTGACCTCAAATATCAGTTGTGCACCCTTATTGAAACATTAACTCAGAAAGCATCAAGAGCCAAACCCAAAGTTGCTACCCTATCTAGAGTGATTTTTAAAAGTTGAATTAAACTTTATTAACATATATCAATTGAACAAAATAATGGGTCTCACTGGACATTTTATACATGCAGATGACATACTAAGATCATATTTATTCTATTTGTTGCTATTTTCATGGTAATTTTAAAGTCTGCACTAGAGTAGTCACATGTATGGACTGAGGTGTGGACATGAACAACTGGTTCTAAAAGTGTCTATTATAGCTCTTTTGTGAAGACTGACGTGATTAAACTCAGGTCTTGGCTAAATCTTGTCTGATCCCTAGTGGGAGGAGTCCAGTGGTGGAGGTGTATCTGTACCTGACTAGAACTTCCAGTCTACCTGAGAGGTGACAGAGTATGTTCCTGGTGTGAACCAAAATAGCAGCAAAGGGTTAATGAGGCAGGGAGATGGAGTGGGTTGAGAACAATTTTTTTTCCTCCCAGTCATAGCTCAGCAATGATGTTCATTATTTTGGGGAAAGGTTTTCATTCTCACACTTCAATAGGATTCGATTATGAGGGTTGGGGAGATGGTTCAGCGAGTAAAGCTCTTGCTGCAAAGCATAAGGACCTGAATTTGGATGCCCAGAACCAGCATGGTGGCCCATGTCAGTCATCCCAGGGTTCGTATATCAAGATGGGAAGCAGAACCTAGGGAAGCACATAGGGCAGCTGGCCTATTTTGTAGCAAGTAAAAAAGTGACCCCGTTTCAAAGAAGATGGAAGGTGAGAACTGACATCTGAGATTGTTCTCCATGACCTCCGTGTGCACCTGGGATTCGTGCACGTGTGCTCACACACACACACACACACACACACACACACACATACACAGACACACACACAGACACACACAGACACACACATACATTTAAAAAGATTAGATGATTAAAAAGGAGAACATTCTACAATTTGCTAACATTACATTTAAATTATCCTTTTGCCACTGGGGGCTCTTTCCTGTCTATGAATGATCATGCTAGAGCATGGATTTGTGAGTTTATGATTCTGGAGACAGAACTCAGCTTTGTGCATACTGTGTGGAGATGTACCACTGAACAACATCCTCTAACCTTAGCATAGAGTTTTATTTGCTGATGGAGATCTTTCCTGATGGCTAGATGCTGGGCTGCAGAGATTTTCAAGCCACTGCTTTAGACCAGTCCCAGTGCTGCCAGCCAAATGTGCCTACCAAGTATTTGAATTACAGCTAGTCAAAAATCAGGTGCATGCAAAGTATACAATTATCAAACAAAATCTGCAGCCTGGTGATGGTGGTGCACGACTTTGATCCCAGCACTTGGAAGGCAGGCAAAGCAGGCAGATCTCTCAGTTCTGCTCAGCCTGATCAAAGAGTGAGTTTCAGGATAGCCAGATCTACACAGCAAAACCCTGTCTCCAAACAAAAACAAAACAAAGCAAAAGAATGCTTCACTCCCAACCTAACTGTCTGACTCTTAAACCAACACTGAGATTTCCCTTCCCACAGGAAAACAAAAACATTTGCTTTCATATGCCTTTAGACTTTTGGGCTCCTGAGCAGTCATTTCGTATAGTCACACAGAAGCACTTTTAAAAATATTTTATTTTAAAGAAACAGCTGGTCTTTATGTAAGCCACCTTAAAGTCCTGTCATTCATTCAAATATCAAGAAATAAAATGGGGTAGGGGCAGAGTTCAAAGATCCTGATGTACAGCAGTGGGGAGATAGGTCTGTTTTTACTCTGATCTTACTTCCTTTTCTAAAATTATCATTGTCTTTTAGAATGAATAGAAACCGGATCAACAGTGCATTCTTTTTGGATGATCATACTCTGGAATTTTTAAAAATTCCTTCCACTCTTGCGCCCCCGATGGATCCATCTGTGCCTGTTTGGATTATTGTATTCGGTGTGATATTTTGCATCGTTACAGTTGCAATTGCACTACTGGTTCTATCTGGAATCCGGCAACGCAGAAGGTAGGCTGTTCAGAATAAATTTGTTTTTCAAGATTTATTTTATGTATGTGAGTACACTGTCCATCTCTTCAGACACACCAGAAAAGGGCATCAGATCCCATTACAGATGGTTGTGAGCCACCATGTGGTTGCTAAGAATTGAATTCAGAACCTCTGGGAGAACAGTCAGTATTCTTAACCTCTGAGCCATCTCTCCAACGCCCTGAGAATGAATGGTTTAAGGAATATTTCTTACTTTCTTATGACTGGTTTAAGGTAATGCCTAAAACTTACCTAAGTCATGACTTACAATATAGCTATTTCAATTTTATCCCTTTTGATGGTTTTAGAATCCAGTGTCTCTTATTTAATGAGGTTCTTTTCATTACTATTTTCCTCTATTGTATTGTACCTTATTCTATTCTCTTTATTATTCTTATGTTTGTATATGTCCCCCCCCCCCCGTGTGTGTTAGAGGACAACTTTATGCATTCATTTTTCTCCTCTCCCCTATATGTGGGCCCAAGATCTCAAACTCAGGTCTTCAGGTTTGCATAATAAGCACCTTTTCCCAATAAACAACCCCACTGGTTTTCCTCCATTGTATACTATAAGACTGTTTCATATCCAGACTACAGCTTAACTTCTATGTTCTAGTTTCCTTTCCATTGCTATGCTAGAACACTGACCAAAAGCAACATAGGAGAGGAAAACATTTATTTCCTCTTACAGGTTACAGTCCATCATGGAGGGAATTCAGGGTCAGGGCACAAACTCACAGGGAAGGATCATGGGGGAATGCTACCTGCTGGCTCACACTGTGGTTTATTTTTAGGATCATGCTTAGCTAGCTTTCTTATATGGCTCAGAACCATCTCTCTGAGGAACAATGCTGGCCAGAGTGGGCTGAGTCTTCTCATATGAATTAATAATCAAGACAGTCCCTCACAGACATGAATACCCACAGATAAACCTGATAAAGGCAGTTCCTTGAGGTTTATCCTCTCAGATGACTCTAGGCTGTGTAAAGTTCTATGTTGTAATTTTGTATGCAGGATATACAGAGAAAAGGACACTTTTTGCATGGGTGGAGTTAAGTTTTTGGTAGTAATCCACATGCAAACATCCATTGTTGCACAAATATTTTAAGGCCTTCCTACCATTGCTGGCCTGGGGCCTGTAGGCCAAACTCCAGTTCCAGATGCCCTGGCTGTACCAGTCTTCTCTTCTACTAATGGATACTGGTCCCTTGTGTGTTTGTTGTTGGAGAGGACCCTGTTGCTTGTGGCTTTTGAACCAACTCCCTGAGTGAGGACGGCCTGGAACACTTGTTTATAAAGTGTAGTTTTTTCGTCTGACTTTCAGATTCACTAAATTAGAATACTTGAAAGAAATACATTTTGATATTGCCCAGGTTGTCTTAATTTCTTTACTTTTAAAATACTCAATTTACCAGCTTACATGAAGGGTCCAGTTTCTTGAGTTCATTATCTTGCATTCAGTTGAGACAAGCTGAGTTAATGTCTGTTATTAATATTGCTTCCAAGGGGGATTTCAGATCAGTGGCAGTTACTGAAGGAGCAGCAAGGAGAGGAGAAGAAATTTATCAGCATGATAAAAGGAGAATATATTTTTTGTTTTTAAATCTCTCTAATTCAGAGAGGAAAACAAGAACTTCCTCAATTAAAAAATATGGTTGTAAATTATGTGCATGTGGGGGTGATATGTACACATGAGTAGAAGCCTGAAGATGCTAGAGATAGATCCTCCTGGGGCTTGAGTTCTAAGCAATGGCAAACCACCTGATGTGGTGCTAGGGACCAAACTCTAGCCCTCTGTTAGAGCAGTACACACTCTTAAAATTGGAGACATCTTTCCAGCCCCCTCCCCAATTAATCCTTCCCTAAATCTGTCTACACCTGTCTAAACCTTCATTTCTGATAAAGAGACAGGAAAAAGTCTGTGAAGTGGCACTCATGGGGACATACATTCTAAAACCACAGGGACATGGTTTGTGAGAGGGTTGACATACAGTTGGGATCTGTGGGGTGTGTTTGATCAAGTATGTGTTGGATTAAATGCCTCTCCTCACATTTACTACTTTTCCTGTGTGCTTCCCTGGCTACTAACAGAAGCATTTTAAGTTTCAACTATTTCCATTTTCCCCACAAATGGTAACACTATGGTATAAATGTGCTTTAAACTAAGCCCAAAGATTAGGATCAAGTGGTACTTGCTTGATTCTTCTGAGTGATCGTGACATGAACTGCTGACTTATTTGCCATGGCACGTGCATTTATTTTGGGTCTTAGAATATCAAGACACATTCTCTTACAATATTTGAAAATCCACACTTAGCTCTTTAAAGTTGTGCTCATTCTGAGATGGTTATACTTCGTGGATCCAAATGAGGTAAAACCTCTGTGAATTGACGTCATTTGCTTGATTCCCAATTTCCTTATTAGTACAATATAATGCAGGAGTTAAAAAAAGGCTAGATTCAGGAGATGAACTGCTTAGGTTTGAAGTATTGATCCCTTACATTGCACTCTCACATGGAACCCATTAGCTGTATGCGAGTACAAATAAAGAGGCAGGGAAACGGAGTTTGGGAGGAGAATATGGCTTTGTGCTCTTAGTCATTCTGCTTAAATTTACCTTTGCTGGTTGCACATAGATAACTTTTCTTGACTGATAAGCTAAGTGTACTGGAAATAATTAACTTCATAGGTTAAAAGACTCAGTACAAGAGAGTGCTTAGAGCACTATCTGGCATACAGCGAGTGCTCAGCCAGTGTTAGCTGTTACTTTTATTTTTACCATCTTGCCATTTGCTGGTCTTTCAGCTGGTTTGTGATGGGATCAGCAATCTCCTTCCAAACAGATTCGGCAGTAATATAATAATTGGCTGTGTACTATCATAATCTGTTGCCTAGGAGAAGCGAGGCTGTTGTTACAACTCTGCCTTCACAAATTCATTTCACATCCAAACTAGGAAAACAGATGGACAAATGTCTTGTGTAAACCTGGAAAGTATCAACAATTATCAAATACAGACAGGACAATTATGACAACCTCCCAGAGCCAAATTGTTTCTGTGTTTCAAGTTTGATACTATCTGTGGTGATTTTTCTCTTTGGTTAATTATTGTTTCAAAGATTAGGAGACGGTACAGTTTGAAGTGGGGGAAAGCCTATGACTCCATCTTCTGGAGACAGGGTCTCATATTGCCCAGACTGGCGTAGAATTAATTATATGGCTGAGGATGATCTTGAACTATTGATCAGCCCGACTTTGCCTCCCAGATAGTGAGATTACAGGTATGTGTGACCATGCCTGGTCTGAAAACTTGTTATAATCATAGGAAAGGTAGACATTTCTTTTTCAGCCTTGAGGAAGAAAGCTAATGAAATGTCTAACTTGGGTCAACAGAGAGAGTTCAGAAGGTAAAAGGAAATGACCTAAGCTCGATCCCTGGAACCCATATGCTAGAAGAAGAGAACAGATTCTTGCAAGTTGCCTTTCGACTTCCACACTCATACCATGGCCCACAAACACCCATTCACACATGCTTATACTAGATACATAAATACATGCAATGAAAGATTTTTAAAAGAAATGTTTAACCAACCCATCTATATGTTAAATAATAATGAACAAAGTTTTGTCTTCCAAACTCATAAACTGAGACTGAGAAGACCTGAAGGGGCTACATGGTTCTTTGAGCTACTGTTCTGCTTCTATGGAGAGGGATGCTAAAGTTGTCTAAGATGGATGCATAGTTAGACTTACCAATGAGGAGATATCTCCAGCAATGTGTTAATCTGTTAGTTTTGTTAATGGCAGCATTACGTTGATCACTCAGAACTGCTAGGTTGTGTGGGCTAGAGTTCAAACTAGGTAAACTCAAATACTGTGGGACTTACATATGTGAACCTAATCAAGTTACCTAATTTCCATGTGTCTCGATTTCCCCACCTACAATAGGGATATAATACCTGACAACTAGTCTCCCCTTTACTTCGGTGTCTTTTCTATGGGGGAAGGGACAGTGACCTAATGAGTTTCACTGGGGTTACTTACAGGAACACAGGTGAAAGGTTCTTTACAGGAGCGTCAGCAACTTGCCAATGGCCACACCACTGAGGAAATCATCTTTCACTCCTGTAGCAATCCTTAACTGTGTGTAAATCCTCTCACGGAGGGAGAGGGACATTCTGAGGCCCCCTTAAACAGGTACATTTCTAAACACAGCAAGGAAAAACAATTAGCAAGAAATTTCTCAATTGGTTTACAGTTTTATTTGTAACACGATTTACAAGAATATGAAGTTCGGCTTTAGGATCCAACGATTCCTCAGAGCTGGTCGCTAAGGTTGTCAACGCAACCTGGGGAATTGAGCCCAGAGCTAACAAGGTGTCCCCGTTCTAGTCATTAAAAAAAAAAAAATGTGCTCCATGCATTTGTTTTCTAATGAGTTTTACCATAAAGTTGATTGGCCGTGACTAAGCCCAACTGTTGTTAATTTTGCGCCTGCAAAGTGAGTTCTCAACTCTAGATTATTTTCCGGCTTATCTCAGGACAGCTATAAGGCGTGGGTCTTCGCGCTCGCAGACCTTTAAGGAGACTGCGCATGCGCCACCTTTCTCTCCTTTTCCGGCTGGAACCATGGAGGCTGTTCCAGAGAAGAAAAAGAAGGTTGCCCGTGTGCCAGAAACCCATAAGAAAAAGGTTCCTGCTGTGCCAAAAACTCTTAAGAAGAAGGTTCCGGCTGTGCCAGAAACCCTTAAGAAAAAGCGAAGGAATTTCGCAGAGTTGAAGGTGAAGCGTCTGAGGAAGACGTTTGCCCTGAAGACACTCCGAAAGGCAAGGAGGAAGCTCATCTATGAGAAGGCAAAGCACTATCACAAGGAGTACAGGCAGATGTACCGGACTGAGATTCGGATGGCCCGGATGGCAAGGAAAGCTGGGAACTTCTATGTGCCTGCAGAACCAAAATTGGCGTTTGTCATCAGAATTCG